TTCGTATCTATGGCTTAATGAATATTTAATGAACGACCAACCAGCTGCCATCTTGTGACCGACAATATGGCGCCGGTGCACCCTGTCTTCTCTCGATGATTGCATATGCTATTATCAGTCTGCACGGTCTATTGTCCTTACGTCGAATTGGGATTGTGCGCAAGCTAATAAATTACCCTTCCACCTATCGAACAGGTGCGATCGGAATGAGATGCGTTTGCGTCCGTGCTCGTAAATTATGGCCTACCCGTTTACCGGTAACCAGCTTCCCTTCCTTTACCCTTCGAATTTCCTCTTAATGATTCGATAACGTTCACATGGTCTGTTCATATTATTTTCCTCTATATAACGACAATTTTCACTTTCCACAATTTTCTTATTTTCCATTTCATTTTTTCCCGTCGATAATACCTGGGGAATATCTGGTGACTAGAGACCTCACCCCCCATCCCACGACAATTTTATCGAGGAATCCTTATGTATTAGGGTAGGTCAAACTTTATATTTCCGTGAGAAGTTTTACTTTGAAAAAAAAAAAAAAAAATAAAACTAATACACGATTCATTCTTTTTCTCTTGTTTTCTTTTTTTCTTTCTTTCTTTTATTCTTTCTTTGTCTTCTCAACAATTTTCTACGATCGTCTGTTCGATATCTAATCAGCCGAGAAATAATAAACGATTCGTTTTAGTTCCAAGTAAAAGGGGCAGGAGGAAAGATCTCTTCTTTCTCTATGCAGTGGACCGAAAAACGACGTTCTCTTCTTTTTCCTATCTCCTCTACTTGAAAGTTCGTTAAATGGAACGAGAAACGTAATGAGAAAAATTGTAGCTTGCTACTGCTGCTGCTATCCAATATTTGCTAATAATTTATTATCAATTCTATTATATATTTTTCTCTCTTTTTTATTTCATGTTAATACTACTTTCGTATATATCTATTTTTTTTTTTTTTAAATGAACGGGATATAATAAAAGAATAAAGTTATAAGAATAAATGATTGATTTACAGATGGTAAAGAATAAATCGATTATGTTTCATCGCCAAGTCGGATCTGAATAACGTTCTGAACAATCGTTGAATCCTCTTAAAATAAATTATTCGAATTTTCGTCGATTTTTTCCATTTTTGTAAAAATTATTCGTTTTTTTCTAGTATTCTAACAAGAAGGAATCTTTTAATTTGACTTCAGTGGTTCGCTCGTTTGAATTAAAAAGACGAAGGTCACGTTCGAGAATAAGAAAGAGAATAAGAAAAAGAGATGAAGAGAAAAAGAGAAAGAAAGAAAGAGAGAGAGAGAGACAGTTCTTTCATTTATGTTCCATTGGTTCAACAAAGAAAATTGTATTTAAAAAATGCAGAACGGCAGAAAAACTTAGCCTCCGTTGGCTTGTTCTTCGCAAAAAATATTCCCTGGTTTTGATAGAAAGTAATAAAGATAAAGAAAAAGAAAAAGAAAAGGAAATGAACGAAGAAGTAGGATGGTTTGATCCATGCAGTAGTCCAAAGCTTAATTAAATTTGGTCAAAGTAGCCGCCACTCTATTTGGAGTCAGCTTTCTCCTATCGTTTTCTACTAAGAAAGGAAGAAAAGAAAAGAAAAGAAGAAAAAAAATGAAGAGAACAAAAAGAAGTTCGAGTATTCCGAACTTTCTTTTCTTCTTATTCATTTCAAAGAACCTATCTTTCCTCTCTATTTCCTTTCTTTTCTTTAATTGACCCTAAATGTTATAAATAAGTTTTCATATTTCTCTTCTGATTTAGACACTTTTTGAAATTGATTAATATCGACCACTGCGCAAATGATTTATCGAAGATACATTAATGAAAAAGAAATATTTTAATTGGGATATATATAAACGAAATAGAAAAATCTTTGCAATTTTTCGACACGTATCAGTTTCTATGCACATATTAGGGTATAAAATGTTACCGGTAAAATACATAAATCAGTTATTTTGTAGATTATCTAGGTAATGTGCACATTAATAATGGTTTTCGTGCTTTACCGTTAACATATACATTTAGTGAGATACAATGACACGCAAGAGGATAAAACAATTATTGTCTCTCGTGTGTGTTGCAGGATTTGCCTGTTAGCCTATTTCTCGGTTCTTGTGATCCTCCAGCCGTGCGTTCATCGTTTTCAGGTTCTCTCGTAAAACGGCACACGTTTTTTTCCAACCACGTAATCACCCCTCTTTTCCTTCGTTACTGACGTTGACTCGATTACGCAACGATTTTTCGCAACCCCTACGTTTCCACCAACCCTTGTCTTTCTATTTTCACACCCTCTTTCATACGAGACACGCTTTCTCTCTATCTCTTTTTCCCTTTTTGTTTCAGCAACCGAAATAATGAAGATCGTTATTTCGCTTATTTGTTGAGCTTACCGATGCGAAAACTAAAACGGAACATCAGTGTTATCGTTTAACTACGATTTTATTCTATTTCTGGTCTTTTCTGTCCGTCGTATTTTACGATCACCACAGTATTATTTTCAATAAATAAATAAAATTGTTTTGTTTGAGTGTTCAAATATAACGGATTAAGAGATAACGAATGTTTAGTTTTTCGAATATTACAAGAATGTATGTCTGCTTAAATAAAAAAGACGCTGAACTTTAGAGATTAAGTTGCTGAAGAAGTCCCAATAAAGGGACGAAACGTCCAATTAATCAAAACTAAGTTCTAGTTCTTTTTAATGTCCAATTCCCCTACGATACTTATTTATTAATAATTTTATTTTTGGACGAGAGAAATAACTAATTGAATTATTTTCAATTTAAACAACAAAATATTCAGTAATATAAAACGTTTCTCAAATGTTATTCATTTCATTCGGAAACAAAAAATATCCTAATGCTGAGAAAATTATATACGATTATATATATATTTTTGATATATATATGATTCTTATATATACAATTATATATACATATATATATATTTGTTCAAAAAATGTATTAGTTTCTATGCACTTATTAGGATATACATGTATCAGAGAAAGAAATAAATAGGCAGACAGACAGACAGACAGACAGACAGATAGATAGATAGATAGATAGATAGATAGATAGATAAAGAGAGAGGTATAATATGATACGATACACGACGGAAATTGGCACATTTGAATTTGCGAAAATAGGCAGAGGAAATTTTGCATAACGTTGGCACCATGTCTGACGCCAAGAACCGTCGTTTGCCATTTCGATGCAAATGACACGGATAGAAGAGGTCCTTTCCACCAGAGCTCGATCGCACTAACCAACACTAACAAACACACGTATACGTATACATTTATACACGAGACAAGACTTTGTAGAACTTTTGATATTCTCGCTTCACGCTAACGCGAATCGGGTATTATGGCAATGAGAATGGTTTTAAAAGAGAACGAGAGAGAGAGAGGGAGAGAGAGAGAGGGAGAGAGAGAGAGAGAGAAGTCTTTACGAGAATATTTTAGATCCGACTTAGGGGTGTCGTGTTTTTCTCACTATGTCTGCCCATAAACGGTTTGTACTACTGTAGAGAAACGACGTATTCTCAAATAAAATGTAATATAATGTAGTAAAGTGTTATAATTGATTTTTATCAACTCGTGCATAATTTTAACAAGAATGTCAAAATAAAAAAAGAATCAGAAGTTAGTTCATATTAAATACTACGCGTGCAAAAACAATATAATATAATCCATTTTCATAAATTCTTTAAGGGAATACGATTAATAGTTTTTATATGCGTTATTAATATACGAGAATTAATAGTTATTAGTGAAATGCATATAAATGAATATTTTATTCCTGTATCATATCTTATTACCATTCGTTTATCGTTCAAAGGAATAATTTTGTATCCATAAAATAATATTCCAAGGGTTTTGATCGGATTACAGGTTACAAGTCCCAAAGGGTCAATAATTTCCTAGATGTATCCCTTGTAATTGAGGATGAAATTACCGTTCTAATTTTCACGAGACGTTACACGAATTTACACATAGACGAACATACACTGACACGTACATATATACGTTTAGAGAATCATAAATAAAATAAATAAATTTTATATTCCGTACTTTTAAACTAAAATATACATTATTTTCTAATCCCATATTTCTTAAGTTTCGTTTCGTTTCGTTTCAATTCAATTAAAAAAAGAAATTGCATTTTCTTCGATGGGGGTAAGAAGAAGAAGAAGAAGAAGAAGAAGAAGAAGGAGGAGGAGGAGGAGGAAGAGTAGTTTCTTTTCATTTTACGGCAGAAAATTCGCAAAGGAGCACATTTTTCGTATTATGTTTTTTTTTTGTTCTTTTTCTTTTCCTGTTAGCTCGTGCTAAGCATTACTCCTTTACGACGAGGGAAAGCACGGAAGCAATAAGGATCTCCAATGTTCGGAAGGAAGTTTCGAGTAGTGGTAGAGAAGGACACCAACACTGGAAAAAGAAAGAAAGAAAGATAGTAAGAAAGAAAATAAAGAAAGAATGAAAAGGAGGAAAGATTTTTCTCGCTTCCATCGCGAAAAGGGCGTCGAAAAAGAGTAATAAGGAGGACACATACCACTCTTCATCTTTTCTTTCTCTCTTTCATCCCTTTCAAACTCTCTTCCCCTGCACCCCTTTATATATCTTTCTCTCTCGTTTTCTCATCCTTAAAGTACTACGATTGCGGCATCTCCGAGAACAATGCCGAGAGAAAAGGAAACTGGGATCGACTTAACGACATAGCGTTTCCGAGGACGAAGGATTTTATCGCCGTTGAAAAAATACCTTTCTTCTTTCCTTGGAGTATCAAACGAGCTCAGCTACCAATTTTTCTTTTTCTTCCTTTTTCTTTTTTTTTCTACGGATTATCAAGATTTATTTCCCTTTTTTCTTTCTTTCTTTCTCTTCCACAACACTACTTATCCGACTCTCAATTTGATATTATTGTTAATTATAATTCTATTTTTTATTATCGACACGTTATTATCATATAAAAAATATTTAGATATTTATTTAGGACTTACCTTCGATCAATTGATCCAACATAGCAAAGATGTGAGATGTTGCCTCATCCGTCATCACCCATCCTCCCGTAGTCATTTCTAGTCGTCCATCCTTGACCAATCTCTTTATCACCGCCTTCTTCGTAGGGTGAGCACTATATTTGGAATAAAAAGGGAAAAAAACAAAAATAATAGACATACTCGTAATATAATAACGCAATCTAATCGATTAACACAGTCAAAGTTCAACATTTAGAAATATAGAAATCTAAATGATTTTAGAAATGAAACAATTTTCAATATATATATATTACATAAAAAAAGATATAAAAGATATTAAAATAAAGATATTTTAGATACTTTATTTAGATACTTTTTAAAGATATATATAAAATATATATATATTAGGTGGGGTCGAGTTAGGTAAAAGATCCTGTATATAATATACAGTATGTTATAAAATACTATAGGCTATTTCACGTAGAACTCCCTTCTCTTTCTCTCTTTCTTTTCCTCTTCTGTTTTACACGTTCATCCTCGATGGTCTCCAACACGAGCGCTAAGGTCAGACGGTTACAACTAACCCGAGGGATCTCTTTCGTGTTCCAGGATATTCTCCCTTCCCTATCGCAACCGAGAACGACGACATCAGCTGTACTCACGGTAAGAGGCAATTCACACAGGAAAAGAAAAGAAAAGAGAAGAGAAGAGAGAGAGAAAGAAAAAAAAAAAGAAAGAAAAAAAAGTATAAAAGGGAAAAAGAAAAGGGGGAGAATGAGCGAACGTTCTCCACCACTTTCCGATCGTTCTCTTTTATGCTTCTACGTTTTCATCCGGTAATTTTCTCTCTCTCTCTCTCTCTCTCTCTCTCACTCTCACTCTCTCATTTTTTATTCTTACTCTATATCTATGCATCTATTTTTTTTTCTGTTAGTCATTAAAAAAAAAAGACCCTCAAAAAAAAGAAGCGTTATTCCTTACGTTCCACGTTCAGCGATCTTAAACAGCAATTCGAGAAGCTCCCCTCCCCCCACTCACCGTATTATATATCTTTCTTTTAATGGCCAAGGTTTTACGACAATCCTACTCCTCCAAGGCATTATTACGCTTTGCTTACTGTCCTACCATCCAGACTGTCTACATAAAATACGCACTTACGAGATGCCTCGTAAGATACACCATTGCTATCTTTAAATGTCCCTATTTACCACTCTTATAAATGGTATACCTATACTGATCTATAATTCCTTTATATATTATGTTATAGGGAAAATGGGATCTTCAGCGATTGCGAACTTTTCTTAGGTATTGGCCACAATCCCTGAAAGTGTCTCACTTTCCCCATAACATATCCGATCTTCGTCAGCATTGTCACCTTTTGTATTTACCACCATATGATACTACTGTTAAACCAACTGAGGTAGTATTTGGTTACGTTGGTGTACTGATGATGATGATGATGATGATGATGATGATGATGCTAGTTGATATCCTTGAATCCGGTTAGGGCCATGGCGGTTGCCTTATCAGTGCTAGTTCAGAGCCTTGAGCATTTAACCGAGACGACGTCGGATTATCGGAGAAGCTCTCTAACAGCGTAATCATGTTTACGCATACAGGATGATTTCTTGGTGAAATCTCTCTCACGCTCACAATCATACTCACACTCACAATCATACTCACACTCATACTCACATTCACACTCAAACTCACACTCGGATTCTCACTTTATCTCTTTATACTATTTTATGTGCGCATGTGTGTGTGTGTGTGTGTGTATATAGCTTCATGTAGGTAGATATATAGAGGGAGCTGAAAGCAAGAGCTTTTAGCGTCAGGATGTCTGGACCATTTTCGAGGATACCTTCGAAGTGTGTTAAGAGAGTTTGAAAGCTTCGGAGAGCCTGCCCGAGAAGATCTGTTTTCTACTGTAAGCCTTTCCCTTTTACTTTCTCCCTTTTCTTTATTTTTTTTTTGCTTTGTTCTTTTTCTTTTGGTTGTATCGACGTTGAAATTGCTATCAATCAAGTTGAAATTGATTACCTACCCCGTCAATCGATTTTAAAATGGCATATTATTCGTGATTAGAATGTTTAAAGGGCCATATATCTCTTACCTGTCCCACCAGAGCGATAAAAAGGACACTTCGCTCCAGATAAAGGTCATGTTCGGCCATTGTTGTAGCTTTGATACCATGTTGTTTAAAATACTTCTGGTAGAGCTGTGGAAATATTGTTCGAATGTCTTCAACCATCCTGGATCGGTGTGACTGTGTGGTACCAGAATCACCTGGAAGATAAATATAAACACAAATTTCATATTTTTCTTTTTCTTTTTTTAATGAAATTCTACACATTCGTGTGTGTGTTTTTGAAAATTATTAATATAATATAAGCAATGGTATTCTTCCCTATAATTCCATATTTCGATTATAAATATACAAGAATTCACCTAACGATTTCATTTAATCCTCTATATCTAATATAAAAAACAAAACGTTAACGGGGGTAGGGGGAGGGGG